TGTTCATTTCAATCATTTTATTTTCGACAGCCATGGAATGTCCTGTTGGCGACATTGTAAGCTATAGCAAATTCTAATAATAGACAGAACGGGAGAACGTTAAAGTTTATTTTGCTTTTTTGCAGAGGTGCAGTATTAATAATGGGTGCTGTCACTTTGAATGTATGGGCGAGTGCTCTTTTGTACGAACCAGTGGAAAAGCACATGGTGCCCGGTTCATCGTCGAACAAGTCGAATGACCGTGACTTGGAAGCCGCCACTGTAACCGTAACTAGTCTCGAAGACGAGAAGAAATCGAATCACGTGATTTCTTCGGCGAACACGAACGAGAAGCCTGCGCCGATGGTGCCAAAGAGCGCGTCCAGCGTCGCATTAGAATATTACAAAAACACGCCGGTGCAAGGGAGGACTAGAAAGATCAGTATGCCGACGGGACGAGAAATAACGGGCCAGATGCACAGCACGCCCGCGTTGCACGCGGTCCCGGAGCGCGGCGGAGGCGGCGGCGGCGTCGGCGGCGTCGGCGAGCATAACAGGTTGTCAAGACGCAAGTCGCCGTTCCAGTCACCGAGCACGTCGTCGTTTAATTATATTAGCACACCGTACCACGGGAGCACCCTTTCCGCCTTACACCCAGAAAGGGCGTCCACGCTGACACTGAACGCGATCTCGAGCACGTTCACGCGAAAGCCCGTGGACGAGACGACCAAAGACGAGGAGAAGCAGCCGCAGAACAAGTTCTTCGACTGCAGCTTGCTCAGAGACCCGATTTATCTCGTAATCCTGATCTCGAACTCGACGAACGCGGTCAGCTACACAAACTTCGTTATACTACTGCCAGCTTATGCGATCTCGTTGGGCTTCGACAAGAACATGTCTTCCCTTCTCCTTTCGATCGTCTCGGTCTTAGACTTGATTGGACGTATCGGGGGCTCCGCTCTCTCCGATGTCTCGATAATGCCAAAGCATTGGTACTTTGTTGGAGGACTGCTCATCTCCGGAATCTCGTTAGCCCTCTTACCGATCGCGAAAGAGTACACGATGCTGTCAATTTACTGCGGTGTCTTCGGCCTAGCGTCCGGCATTTACGTCGGCATCACCGCGGTCATCATGGCCGACATGCTGGGAACAGAGAAGTTGACCTCCTCCTACGGTATCTCTTTGTTCGTCAACGGAATCATTCAGCTGATCGGCCCGCCGATCTGCGGCCTCGTATTCGAACAGATTGGAAGCTACGGGCCAATCTTTAGTATCTTAGGTATCATTTTGGTGGTAGGCGCGTCCTTGTGGGGCTTCGTGCCGTTTATCCGTAAACGGCAGGACGCCCTCGAGAAAGCTCATCCGGTCGAGAAATTATAGTGCATTCGTTCGTGAAAGTTAACTGTGTCTCGCGCGGGGGAAGAGCTTAAATTGTATAATTATCGTAGAGTATACGTATCTCGATATATAAATATAAATATAAATATAAATATAAATATATACATATAAATATATATGTATATATATATATAGTAATGATTATATAATTATGAAACACTGTGATGTTAGAATGAATGTTCTGTATATACTTCTGGCACTGTGATGACGTTACACGATCCACGCGCACATTTTCAGGTGGATTGATAGGGAAACAATTTTCAAAGAATATATTTTTAAGAAACGCGGCGGTTTCTCTTTTTCTTCAAAATTGAAAGTGGCTTGCCTTACACACAAGAAAAAGAACTCTTTCGATGTATGTTCTTGTTGATTACTTGATAAAAACCGAAGGAAAACTAAAGAAAGACATAGGAATAATTAAGTACTTAGTTCTGAAGCGCACTAGTTGCAGGTGCTACTGTAATTTAAACAAACAAAAGAGCGCAATAATATAATTTAGTGCACATAAAGGTTTCTTAATATAAACGTAACTGTAAAGAAAAATGTCAAATATTTGTTTTTACACTTCTCTTAAAACGAAGGATAAGTATGTAAATAATTCCTACTGTTACAAACACTCTTTCGCGGAAGATAGTCAGTCAATTTTGTTATTCATTCGTTTACAATTCACCGAAAAATATGCCTTAAAATTAGAATTTAAGTACTTTACAGTTAATGAATTACATTTATAATACTATACAATATGTAAAATAAATAATGAGATGAAACATGCATATCTTATTCGTGATATCCTACGAGAATGGTAGGTGATTACACTTCTCTAGGATTAATAAAAAATGTTTTGTAGTTTGAATTTTTTTTATTGAAGGGGTTCGATACTAGCATCATTGATAATATGTAAATGACAAAGTTACCCCTTCAGTATGTTTCTATAAAGTCTATATGCGAAATGTATAACAATTAAATTTTGCTTAAACTATCAGAACATATCAGTGACATAAATTATTTCTTTTTTGGTTCTTCCTCAATAGCAGGTCCACTTTCGCGGAAATTGGGGAACTGTTCCCATGGGGTAGACAATTCAAATCTACGAAATTCCTGTGTCAATTCTAACGGTTCGCACACCACTCTCATCTTTTCATCGTCGTAACGTACCTAACAAGGAAAGGTATTTTTAATGACATATGTTATCTAGCGAAAAAGATATGTTATTTACATACCTCGACGTAACCAGATAGTGGAAAATCTTTCCTTAATGGATGTCCTTCGAAACCATAGTCTGTGAGAATTCTACGAAGATCCGGATGATTTGAAAAGTACACACCATACATATCCCACACTTCTCGTTCGTACCAGTTAGCACTATCGTGCACAGATACTATCGATGGAATAGGTGTCAATTCGTCTGTATATGTTTTTACCCTAACACGTGAATTATATTTTAATGATAGAATATTGTAGACAATCTAGAAATAATAAAGTATATAGCAGACATTAAGGAGAATGTTAATATTGTTCTTTGCACAGAAAATATTTACCTCGAATCTGTATGTACGAGAGGGTACATCTACTGCAGTTATATCGGATAAATTTGTAAATAGTGCATTCTGATTATCTTTCAAAAATGTTATTACCGGAACAACTCCTTCTGGAGCAATTAATACCTCAAGTTCATCGCCAGTAACAATTTGGATCTTTTGCACATATTTTGGTAAACATTCGCTGACATACTGACCAAATTCCTTTAAATTTTCTACATCCACTCGGCTAGGTTTACGTATTGTTGCTATTAAAAAGTGCTATTATTATTTCTGTTCGTGACAACTTTACATTAAAGATAATTAAATATGTAATTATTTTACGTACGTTGTGCTTCTGTTGTTTCAGCTACCGTTGAGTTTGCTCTTAGCGATGGGAGAAGTTTTGGATAACCTATCAATTCAATTAATCATTTATTACATAATATAAGAAAAGAGAAATTCAATAATTACCAAACAAATTCTTTACATTTTGGTGTTGTGACAGATAAATTTCGTGAAAGTCGTAAACAATTTCTCAATAGAGATGTCATTTTCAGGATAAAATCTTTTTCTTTTCACGGTACGCAACAATCCACCTCCGCAACCAGACGTGACATTTACCACGCTCTCTAGGTAGCGAATGCGATACATGTCGTCTTGACGCATTATTCAAATAGTCATTAAGAGTTACTTTAGATACATTCTATTTTGAATGAATATGGAATTTATTAATCATAAATCATTTTTAAAGAAAAGGATATGAAGAAATTACTTTATTTTATTTTATTATTTATTACATATGACAATATCTTTACAATGTAAAACTTAATTCTATAATTTTCTTGTGTGATTCTTTATAAAATGTCGAGGTATATAATTGAAAGGGATGCCTACTTTGTGTACAATTATCAACTGCTTATAATATTTTTTGATGTACATTTTTGTTCAACTTTTTGCATTTCCACAAGTATAGTTGCAACAGCATGTCGTAATTGATGGAATTTTGACATAGATAATTCAAATACCTGTTGTTCTCCATTGCTGAATGTCCATTTCATTATAATATGTGGTTCCAAGACTCTATTTAAGATGCTGAAAATATTAGACAATTAAATACGTAAAGAAAGATGTAACATTATTAAAAGTAGCAGAATTATCTACTTGGAGGAAATAGTAATATCCACGCGCCATTTGCAAGATACTAAATGTGCATAAAACTTGGTTTTATTGATTAAACCTGCTATCAATTCTGGTCTTTTCTGACCATAGATCACTGTAGACAAATCCTCTATACAGTCAGAAGATAATCTAAAATAAACATCAATTAATATATCTTACACTTATTCTTATATAATTTATTAAATACATACTTTAATTCTTCTAATGTTTGCTTGAATTCTCCAGGTTTCACATTTTGGCATAGCATGCTTAAGTGAACCTTTAGTATCGTATGAATTACTGAATAATACTCATCCACAGATTCTTCTGGTACATTGTATTTTTGACTTATTCTGTCTAATATTCCCTCCTCTATATGTTCCTGATTTATTACCTTCACAGCAACTGCAAGTGATAAATTACTATATTTGTACAATATGTTATAATTATACTATAAATTAAAAAAAAACTTACTCTGTATGAGAGGACGGACAAACACCTTTTTTAACTCAGGAAAAATTTTTGTTCTATTCCCTAACGCATACAAAAGTTGCGTTTGAAAAGTTGTCATGTTTACACTGAATTAATTTTCTGTTGTTTTATGGGCAAAGGTAACGTGAAAAAAAGGTCTACAATAAGCGTAATAATTGGAACGATTTCCCTGGAATATTATTTTTTATAATTTTGCTAAAATTAATTAGGATGTGATAGCACACAGTTAAAATCTGTACAGACGTTGCATATTATTCTTCTGTTTACCACTTGGAAATACCGACACTGTCAAAAAGGTCCTAATACACTAGTGAACTCTAGCTAAACATTCCTATCACTTCATGCCATCTAGCAGAGTTGAGACAATGTAGAATTCTCAAGTCATAAGCACGTTTGGTCATACGAACTATTAATGTATTTAAAGATACAAAATATAGAACGTGTACAAAGTACAGTTTGAAACGATTTTGCAACGCTGATTGATATTGATTTTTTGTTTTTCAATCTTGACACTTTAGCTCCTTTAGACCACGTACACCGTTCTTACATTCTCTTGCAAATCATTATAAGATAGTATGAAAATGGGGCGCACATAATATATATTATTTTATTATTTACTGTAATGATGAATACTATATAAAATTAATAAATAATGGAATAAAATAAACTACCTGATATAATAAATTTGGAACTTACCATACAACTGACCGTGTGGCCTAATGGATAAGGCGTCGGACTTCGGATCCGAAGATTGCAGGTTCGAGTCCTGTCACGGTCGAACAATTCATTTTTTTTTCCTTTTCACTTGTATTTTATACATACATGCCTTATTAGAATTATTCCAGTATGTACGTATTTATTCAATGTGCATTTGTAAAATATCCAAAATTCAAATTTTATTTTCAAAAAATATTCACTTTTTTATTTTATACTTGGAATATTGTTCTTCATCCTAAATAGTTAACAGTATTAAAATAAAATAATAAAATTATATAAAACTTACTTCTAATAATATTTTCCTTATAAATAGGTACATTTATCGATTTACGAGAGAAGCAAAAAGGAATTCCTTCGAGCCGGATTTGAACCAGCGACCTATGGATGTCTCATTTCAACGAACCAACTACAGTCCACCGCTCTACCAACTGAGCTATCGAAGGTTCTTGATTGGGAACTCTGTCAGGTAGATTGTAAACTCATTCATCTTAACATTCAAAGAATTTTTTTTATTATTAATTATTTGCATGTTTTAACATAAGGAATATATCATTTTACGATTAGATTTTTCTTATAAACCCTAAATAATTGTTATTACGAGTAATAATAACATCATGCTTGCAACCCAATTTTTTCATACGTTTCGGTATAAGCTTATCGATAAAAAGTACATTCACATTTATGTGACGTATTTAACAAAAACACGAAATAATATGTTTTCGAATTGCTGGAGGAACTGTCAGTCCTTTGTAAGTTCACGTTGAATCGTTCGATTCGATCGAAGAAAAAAGCGATCGACAACACGTACACTCCTTTTCCAGATTCTATTCGCAGAGTTGTTTCGAAAAGCGTTTGATGAAAGTTTACGTAACGTTTTTTTCGACTATAGAGCCCATATCGATTTCGTACCCTTTAATGACGAAATCATTCTGGGAGCGGCGTTTTCCTAATCAGAGCATAGTGAATCTATCTTGACAAGACCACGCCTAAATGTCAGTCGTATTTTAGGCGATCCTTTCTTTCGATTTCATTTTACTGCTCATTCATCTTATGAAGCACACAATGGCCGAAATTTTATGAGCCTTTTTATTTAGATTGTATTGATATTATTATATCAAAAATCATTCGAGTGAAAGTTGATTTAAAAAGTGTTCAACACGTTGTACACTTTAGAGCATGACAGCGTCCACTGTGGCACTCGAACCAGTGAAATAGACGGTCTTCGATTGAAGGAGTCTGCAAGGAGAGTGCATCAGTAATGCAGCGAACATCGTGCTCCTCGAAAGTAAATATTCGGTATTGCCCCGACAGCGATCGGAAGTTCGTACAAAGCACAGTTCACTGGCATGCAAATACTCGAAGATACTTGAAAACTTCAACAAATAACCGGAGACGTTTATTGGTTCGATTCTCCAATACGAAACACTCGTGGCCGGCTCTCCGCAATTAGTTCGACAGTTGTTTTCCCCCGACGATATATCGTTGTAGAATCGAAATATCAATATTATCGTATTCCCGGATTCACGTGCATCCACGTCCGACCGTGAGTAACCTTGTCGTACGATAACTCGATACACGTACTTGAGGAGACGTCACGGTAACTCGTGCCGCGTATTTTTTCGTCCATCAAACGATACGTGTTTACATATGTACGTGCCGTTACGCAATGCAACATAACCCTTTCCGGTTGTTTTATTGTTCCCATGGTCAGCGCCATCTTTCTAGTGCATAAAAAAATTGAATGCTAAGTGAACGCGCGTTCGTCGAGACCGCTCAGGCTGATTAGGAAATCAATGTGCAACCGTGACACTGAATATTCGAAAAAAACGAGAAAGGAAAGCTCGGTATCGTGTTCTCGCGACACGTTATGTCGTCGAAACCGTACGCATCGGGAGTATCGCTTTCGCTCGGAGGTGCATAATGTATCCCTGCACGGTCATATGCCCTCCGATGATAGGGACAGGAGGTTGGAAACGCGTGTCGCCATCCGCCGTTGGTGTCAGCAGGCGATATAGCGTATTCCCGTTACGCGAGGGTGGAACGGTTGGGTAATTACCTCCAGACCGCGCTACTCCAACGAACGGTACCGAGGCGGACGAGGAGGCTAAATACGGAAAGAATTGGCAGGACAAAGAGGATCGTAAAGAACGCAGACGCGGTTTGTCCGCGAACGCGATGTCGCGTGGTGCGCCTGTGCGGGATCACGATCGGCCTGGAATACCGAGGAAGAGGGCGGCAAGGGGCGACAGAGAGGAACAGAGAGAATGGAAACACGATAAAGAGCGCGTAGAAAAGGTAGATTTCCGTAACAGGAGGGAAATGGAATAAATTCGAGCGCGAAGAAGAGAACCGATCGGGAAAATAATCGGGAATGTCGGTAACGGAAGACGATGGGAAAATATGTCCGAGGTAGCGAGTGGCCAGAGGCAGCAGCCCGACGCGTTCTCGATCAAAAAATGATAGCAGCTCCAGGTAGACAATAAAACATGATCCGGGGTGGTAGGAGAAGATTAAAGGGCGTAAGGGAACGGAGAAAGAAAGACGAAGAAGGGTGGAGCAAGAGCGAGAGAGACGGCGGTTGTAAAGCGATACATACAAGGGATGGAAGTGGGGATGAAGCAGAATAGGCGAGGAAGGTGGCGCTCTCGCGCAGTCTGGCGTCGTCGGCCGACTGGTGTACGTTCGGGCCGATCTTGGACGCGATTTATTTTCGTCTCGCTCTGTCCGCGACCATTTCCAATCGCAGTATCGTCGGTTCAACCTTTCTCGCTTGCAAGGACCTTTATTGCGGTGTGATAAGAGAGTTCGAGTCGACGAGCACGGAAGTCAGCCGAGAAGTTCGGTACGCCGGTTGATGAGCCCTCTTAACTTGTGTTGTAAGGATCCTTCCGCACCACGATCGCCAGCCGATGCGAGGGACAATAAGGTAATGTTTTATCGCAAGGATACGGTTCCGACTTGGACTGCTGGCCTGGCCGGTACTGGATCGATTTTCATGAGGAGCGAAGCGGGAGTTGTCTGTGAGTGCAAGAGAGAAAGAGAGAGAGAGTGAGAGAGTGAGAGGTAGAGAGGTAGAGGTAGACTATGTGTATGTTCGAGAGAGACACAGGACAAAAGGGGTAGGGTGCTAGTTGAGCCAGAGAGAGAGAGAGAGAGGGAGGGAGAGTTACAATTAGACAGATAACAGAGCTAAGAACGCGATACCGTATGTATCTTTCCCCTTTTTTCCCATTGTCTTATTAGCGTTTTCCCTACTCCGTGGCTCATCCTCGTTCGTTCATTCCACTCTGACTCGCGTTTCAACTATTTATGTTCGCCGGCGTTTAAAACGATCCAAGTGGATTCTCTAATTTTACATTCGCAGTTCCTCATCTCGCGTTTGTCCTCATCGGCGTATATTCTGCTCGGTTGCGCTATCCGTTTTTTGTCGGCCGCGTGCACGCGTGCGCCCGTGTTCCTCGGGTCCGCGGATCAGAGGGGACGGAAACCCTTCCAACTGGAACCTCGTCCGCACGCTTCGCTGATACCGCATCAACGGTGTTACCGTAGATCGATCGGTGGAAGAAGCACACCGAGGGAAGTGGAAGCTTGGAATCGTATCATCAGGCCCGGTCGCTCGCGACCGAGCTGCTGGCCATTTGCTTTCGCGGTGCAATGCGCTTCCCGGTTGCGCGATGCGCTCACGGTGAACGAGGAAGCGGCGCGAACCACCAACGAACAGACGAAAATATTCCCTCGACGAGTCGGTTTCGGTTGCCGCACGGCTCTCTGCTCCCGGAGGAAAATGAATTTTCTAGCGACCAAGCCAGGACCGCCGATCGAAACCCACCGCAACCGTGAACAAGTCGATCGGCCACGAAGATGCCGACGACAAGAGCGATTAAGCGGATTATTAGCTGAAACACGGCCGCGTGACGTTTAGCGACCTCTGCGTACCAGTGCACGAGGGATAATCGCTTGAAACGCATCCCGAACGAATTATAAACCGTTGACCGGACCTGAGCCGACGGTAGGCGTATCGAGCCGCCGCCATTAGCCCGGACCAGCGAGCTGGTTAGCAGGGAATCCAGCCAGGGCCCGCGTGTAAACGCGAGAACCATAATCGCGCGGAATTTTTCGTGTGTTCCGCGTCTCTGACCCTCTTCCGCCCTACGATTCTCACCGGTCGATAGACCCGACTCGACATGGTACAAACTCTCCGTCTCTCTCTCGTGATCGCGCGCGCTCGTTCTTCCGTTCCTTCCTCTCTCTTGCTCTGTCTCTCTTCTCGTCCTCTCGTCTCGTTTTATCTTGATCGCGACTAATAGCACAGACAGAGGAAACGAGGAGCGAGCGGAGACTCGAAAACCGTGCGATCGTGATTCGTATACGCGGACAGTGCGCGTATCTGATCGATACGCAGAACCGCGAAGTGCACGCCGAACGTCAATGGCAATGTGATGTCTCAAAGTGATACCGTCAAAGACTCGTACAGTGATCGTTTAACCCCTCTGTTCGCTGGAGGGAAGTGGGCAAGGGAAGTGGAAGAGCAGGGGGATCGGCGAACCTCCGCGACCCAAATTAATCGGCGACCATCCGTTTAAGGTAGGATTTCCGGTAGGAAACGCTCTGTGTTTCTTTGCTTTCCCAACCGCGTCTCTTCGTCACCAGTGTATCACGGGCTGATTACGCTTTTCGGCTGACACTCTTGTCGGATGACGATTACGCCCGGTAAACGTACAGATGCGTGCAGTTAAGTGCAGGTTACGATTTTATTCCTTTTATTTCTCAGCAGTTTGTTTTTTAGAGGTACGATGAAAAGTCGAAACAATCGAATCGTTGCGTAGCTAATTATTGTTCCTAACGGATTCCTTGAACCTCGTCGCTATATCGAGAACGGAGTAAAAGTTACGAGACGAGAGGATGAAATAACATGAGGTAACGAGCTACGTTTATGAATAGATAACCTCTACTCGCGAATAGGAAAGTAAAACAACCTCTAACGAGAAGTTTCGTGGTATCGAGATTAATCGTTTCATCGACTTTCGATTAAGAGGGCGGCATACGAGGAATTCCCGTGGTTGTTTCGTCGAGCGAAAAGAAATGATAAATGTGTCTTATCAGGCGCCTTGGAATTCGGACGATCGCGTCGATAAACGAGGACCCTTTGTAAACTATCGGTACCAACATATGGTATCGTTTCCCCCCTGCCTCGTTTTTGACAATTGGATGACTTGTTTCAAACTTGACTACTTGAGTCGTTGCACGCCCTCGTTAAAGAAATCGTGAGCGATGAGGGTCGATCAGTTTTACCCCGAGGTAAGTGAATCGTATCGAATATTAAGAGACGTTTAATTGTGCCATTACATTGTCTTATAATCATATTTGAAGGTACGAAGAGGCGGCGAGGAAAAGTACAGGAATTGGAACCGGCAGTGTTTTGAGGTTAGAGTAGCGAAATTGGAGGGAAAGTTTGGATGCGCCCAGTTGATTTAAGGATTCGATTCGAGGTACTGTTTCTCTCACGAGTCTCCGTTTCCATTAAGACGAGAGCTGTTCGTACCGCGGAATCTTCTCCCGTCGCGTCTACGCCTTACGCGACTTTCGGCTGATGCGATTAAACGCTCCGGATACCTGTGCAACGAGCGCACCGCAACAAGTAATCTCTTAGAGTCTTTGTAGTGCTTCGAGATTATACGCTTACGTACTGGCTTCTTTCGCGCACCTCTGTCTTCGCAGAGTATTACTCCCGGCATCACGGTAGAATCTCACTTATACGAACTCCCGTAATTTCCTTCGAACTCTCTTGCCCGGTAGTCACGTTCGAATTCGTAGAAAAATTCGAACCGTCGGATTTCTAAAAAAAAATTTCAATCATCGAGTTCGCGGTGTTCCTAGGTTCCTAGTAGAGCTTGAATCATTGAGGCCGTAGTGAATTTTGAGTCATCGGATTCGCGTGAAATTGAAACCGTCAGACTGAAAAATAAAACAAACAGAATTGAACGATTTAAATGAAGGGATGGACAGATTAACTATCCGGATACTAGCGTATCCGAGCTCGACATTCAAATTTAATTATCCTGGAACTCGATGAGGCTAATTTACACGGTATTGCTTTTAATAGGCTTAATCGACCAGCCCCTTTTTAATTTATTGTATCGCAAACAGCGGCGTTGCCGTTCGTCGACTCCCTTGTTCCACGCCGTTCAATGTTCATGATCTCCCATCAAGCTTTCCGAGCAGTTTTCATTAGATTTATCGTGCGGTGGCGATCCCCGCGGATCGTTCCGTGGAAAGTGACGAAAACGAGGGCAGTAATAAAGCAGATGGTAAACATTGTTACTCGGATAGGCCGCGCGAAAATGATCCGAGTGCAATATAAACATCTGATTAAGTCCTTGGTCCTCCAAGCGATGGGTCATAGAGCCTAGACTTCCAGGGTCGTTAAGCCTTCGCTCGAGAATCTCTCCGCGACAACTCTTGTGCAACGCCGCTCTACTTTCGAGTATTTTCAACGCCAGAACAACCGTGCCAGTCGAAATGGCCGGTTCTAATTGCTTCGTTTCACAATTACCGACACCAGAAAGCTATCAGATATCCAAAATGATTTTACAGACTAACAATTTCATTCGCATACTATACCGAGTATTCACGGAAATATAAGAAAACTGTAAATATAACCCGTTGAACTCTGTAGGTTCCAATATTGCAGCAGTTATAATATTAAATATTTTAATGAATCTTAATAATTTTAAGACCGAAAGGACCCATTCGAAAGTTCTAATTTGCAATGATGGAAACCGTGAAAATGCTTCTCTAAGAAATCGTCAAGTGAGTTTCTGTATTTGTAGGGACGCAAGGATAAGAGGCGCCTCGAATCTCAATAAATGCATTCTAGTTTTTTCGAGGGACTTTCGAGCAAGCGGCCTCCGATTGCTCGGCGGGTCTAGCATTAATTCACCGAGCCGATGAGTCACCGGGGTGAAATTGATTTATTCAAAAGTTGACGAACAATGATTGAGGCAGGGGCGTCGAATAGGACGCGTGGCGGACCGTGACGGCGTCGGTTCGTCTAGCCGTCCGTTCCTTACCACCGGGCAACCCTCGTGGGGTGACGACCCTGCACGTCTGGCCAGAGCCTGCCGCGCGTTTCGTATTTATTATTTATACGCCGGCAAGTGTCTACATCCGCTGGACGTGCGCGGCAGATCCACTTCGTTAAAGGTACCGTTGCGGGATCCTCGCGAGGAACACTGCAATCGGATTCCGGCTCTCGACGTTTCGAGCTCGCGTTCGTCAACCCCTCGCCTTATAACGCGTCGGCCTCGCGACGAAGGTTTCGAACGAGAATTAGCGAATGTATAGTTGGGAGACTGCAATTTTATAGTTTCGATTGGGTACATGTAACTGTATTGGATAGAAAATCAGTGATATTGGGAACCAGGAGATAGAACCAACAGAAAGTTGATAAGAAATGAAAACTGATCGATCAGTCGGATTGAATCTAGTCAAGTGATCTACCAGATTTTATTCCTCTGATTCTTCTGTTATCAATGATCGATAGCCGAAACGTAATTTACAGTAATCTGTAGGTTAATTCCCGTTCCCGGATCGAACTGGAATTTCTAATCCATTCTGGAAATGGATATTTTCTCGTACAAAGGAAAATTGTTTCAAACGAGAGCTATTTGTCGTAGCAAGCGGATCAACCGTAGATTCGGCTCTCAATCCGAAACAGCATTCGTCTCTGGATACTTTGACCAGACAGCAAACAAGCAAATGAGTTTGTGCCGGCGCGATGAAATGATTCACCATTACACGTAGCTCGATTCCGTTCGTGCCGCACGAACAAATAAATAATTAGAGAGGATACCATCTGTCCGAGGTAACTGCGTGATTGGGGATAAAACTGGAGGCCGATATTTATATCTGAATTACAACTATTTATACCCGCGTCTGTACGTTTCGTTTATTATGCACGGCGTGCCGGGGGCGCGCGCCCCCTCGCACGTGTGTTCGGTGAAACGCGATCTCCCACGGGAATCCCGATGTCTGTTCCGCAAACCGCGCGCGGCGAGACACGTGAATTTTATTAAACGGCCAATCGGAAAAGTTGCGACGCCGATCCCGCAGGAGCTGCAATCAGACGTTAATAATAACCGCGCCGTTCTTCCCCCGGTTCCGCCGTTTCCCCGTTGCAACGCGAGCTATGAGTCAGGGCTCCCGGAATCGTAGGGAAAACCGGTTTTTCGCGTAGGGGTTGGAACGAGGAGAATATCAATTTAGAATAGGCAGCGAATTTTTCGGGACATATCAATTTAGGCTCGACATTCGGAACGTTTAAGGGAGGCTTTGTAAATCTGAAGAAAATCATTATTTCTCATTGAGAACATCGGAGAATATATTTCAGTCGGTCGACGACATTGCTAAACGTTTATTTAATTAATAACGCAATTAACGCGAACACCGGTGAAACGAAGGAAAATCTAAGGACACGTTGTAGAATAGCGTCCGACAGAAACGAACGAAAAGATACGTTGCGCAAGTAATAATTGTTAGAACTGTGCGAAATACACGCGAAGAGAAACACGCGAGCGATCGCGAACGCTCACGTGTGTCCGATAGGAGCGTTGTTTCGTAAAAAGTGAGATAATCTCGCGCTGGATCACCGTTCCGTTTGTAATCGATGCGGCCATCCGTTGTCTCCGATGTAACGAGTCGCCCCGTTCGTTGTTCGTTCGCAGATGAGAGGCAAAGTTTCGCCCTCGGTTCCCATTCGAGCGTAATCCATATGGATGGAGCAAACAGGAAGGGTTAAGGGGACAAGAAAAGCGTCGTTTCCCTGGTCCACGGCTCGGTTCATCGGATCGCGTTCGTCGACCAGGGACTGGGTCGATCTTACCGTGGCCGAACGTGAGTATCGTGTGTTGCGTAACCAACGATTAACACTAGAACCACCGGATGCCTCCGAATCGCCCGTTCCCCGTTTCCTCTTTTGTAATTATACTAAAAAACTGTGGACGCTTCCGCGAGAAGTGATTCGAGGAATTGATTATTAACACGTCGATGAAAATTCCGTCTATACTCTTAGTGTTATAAATAACGAAATATAATACTTTCAATCCGAAATATAAGTTAGTTGAAATTTTAACGAATGCTTTTGTAGTTTCTGCGAGGGAAAAGTGTAGAGTGTCCGGTGGTTCTAGTGTTAACACTAAACGTACCGATCAAATGACCTGTTTTCATATTTATTCGAAATTTAATTTGTAAACATTGAAATTTTAACATTTGATTTCCACTAAGCAAGATTTATCGTCCAGTCAGTTATTTGTCTGATCACTGTTGAATTAGGTATTTCGTTTTGAATTTTCGAGCTCCACGAGAAGTTCGAACGGTTCGAGTAACCATCGTTACTTACGGAATGCCTTCGAGGACCTTTGAGGACTTCGAAGGTCTCGAAGAACCTTCGAGACCCTTCGATTGCCCTCGAAGGGCTGCGGTGTTCCGCTGGCAAACCGTCGATGCCCTAGATACTCCTTTGTAACCTTTAGAAGGTTCCTCGTAGCTTCGAGATAACATTTGAACAGTAGAAGCTAGCGATTGTTGACAAATAAGCATCGACCGGTGGTATCAGTTCACCCGATTGACTCTATCATCGATATCCTTGCAAAGATGCACTTCAAAAAAGAGTTACGTCCATACTTTCATTCCAAGTTATTCACGTCGCAGTTCAACCCATCAGATGGCCATTGAATACTAATAGTTAACCGTTAACTATCAACACGTTCACTGCCACGAGAATTTAAAGCGTTCATAACATTACCGTATCATAAAAGGCAAATGGTATTCGAGTTAGCACTTAGCGGACGAAGATTCTTCGAAATGTATAAAACCTTCAGCAAATGAAGCTGAATTATATATCCATTAAGTAATAGAAGAATCAGTGTTCTCGAAATAGTTTTCAAGCACTTCCGTGACCACCGTGGCGGTCAACGTTAAATATCAAACGACGTAATTCAATGACATGTATTATTATCGAAACAATCCATTCGATCGATGGCATCGATGAAAGAGTACCGATCAACAGAGTCGCCTGTCCGATTCGAACCTCTCTGGATCGCGACCGAAGGGGTGGAATCGCTCAGATAAATCGGTATCGCGATCGATCGTCCGTTCGGCCGGGTAAACCTGTGTTTGGTGGATTTCAGTGACCGCTCGGGACTCGCCAGTAATCGGTGTCGGCGCCAAGGATGGCGAGGAGCAGCAGCAGCTGCGCTGCACCGCACGCATACCGGCGATGCACCGATCGCACCGTCGTCGTTCATCGCGATGCCGTTGTCGCAGCTCGTAGTACGTCCCATCGCGAATTGCAATCGATCGGAATCGGGTACGGTAGGAACGTCGACGATACTGGCACCTGCGGCAACACCGGCCACGCTACCAATTTCGATCAGGGAGAGGGCACGGCCGATTAGAGTCGCCCCTTTCGATAGAACTGCCGACCTGCACGTGATTCATGTAAGTTCTCCTATCCGTATCTCCGTTCGCTCCGATCCTCGGGACCGTTTCACGCGGGAGACGGGATGAAACGATTCCCTTCTTTCGTCCCCGTCGACGCGCTGCTGGGAAATACCACACTGGCCTATAAAATTGACCTTTTACGATCGGACTCCTCGGCGTATCGGTGACTTCGAGCTTTCTTATCTGGAATCGAATGCTGTAAATACATTATTCGATTGTTTATTTGCAGACCAATGTGGGCTTCTCTTCTTTTCTACCACTTAACACTGGAACTACTATGTGGGTCGGGATTACCGAATTCTGATATTCTTTACAGTTATTGAAAATAACTGATTTAGCTTTATAACCGATTTTATAACCGATTTAGCTTTCTAACCCTTCGCACTCGAGAGGCGACCCTCGGCACTGTTTCATATACCGAAATTATAGTCTTACTGTTACTTAATCTTCTGTACTCGAGAGCCGCCTCTGAGTCAATTGATTCGACACAGCAAAATGGTAAAGTTTGGTATTTAATGTTAAACTTCGTATAATGCATCGATGCGTGGAATATTGAAGGAAAATATTCCGAGTGCAAAGGGTCGAATAACGAATTGAAGTTTATTTAGTAAAACTTCGGTAGACGCAATCTTCGAGTTTCCGCATGATAATCGAATAAAGTCGATCCGACTGCTCGGCGGTTTCAATGTTAACGAGAAAGAACGGGGCGGACGGGTTAAAAGCAAACTAAACGGAGATAACGCGAAGATGCTCGCAGTGTTTTCGATATTTTTCGAAGCCCGTCTGCTCGCGTCCTCGGCGCTCGCCCCGATAAACTGATAACGTCGACGCTGTCCTAATACTTAACAGTTGGAGTGTCACCTGTATTGATTTTCGGGATCGTTCGGGCAATCGAACGTTCGTCCGTGAAGGAACTGGCCATCGATTCCCGCGGAGCGAAGGTTTCGCCGCGAATTCGTCGCAGTTTTCGGGCGCGCCGCTGCGAAGTAGATCAGATCGCCGATTGGCGATACCGGTTTCGCTGGTAATTTGTCGGCTCCGATTCCTTGGAAGTTCGAGCGTTCGCACGACCGAGCAAATTGTGAAAAACAATTCAGATGTTCGATCGTTCGAGGAAATTGCGAGGAAAGATTGAAATATTCGAACGTTTATGTAAAATTTTTCTTTTTATTAGGTACAATTCACGATTCCTCGTGATCTTCGAAGGCATCGTGGTCAGACGATCCGATTCTGATATAATCAGATTGAATTTTTCACGCGCGACAGTGCAGATTACACGTTGTTTCAGAGTATTATGAAACCGAGCGGCCAATTGTTGCGAAACTTTTTGTTTTTGTTATAAATAAGTATAGACGGCGCCCGATATTATCTCTTATTCACGGCTGGCAGAATTTCACGCGTTAGAATACAAAGGCAAGGTCGCGCCGGGTATTCCCACAGGTTTTTCTGCTCCCCGACAGCGTTTCGGCGAATCGTCGCGATAACCGCGACACGGGCACGGCTGCGGAACGTAACTTCGCCGTCGAATTTCTGATTTTATGTCGATTAACGGATAAGAAAGGGGATCGCGCCGGATGTGCGATGCGAAACGCTGCTGAACGCTACGGTTGCGCTGGAAACTTTCGAAAAATCAGTTTCTCGTTTGCAAAGACACTGCCGAAGGACACACGGCTCGCAGTAGTTCACTAATTCGTGTTCTAATTTTCTCGATTAATATAGGACGCGTAACTGGTTCACGATTAATTCGAAGACATACGCTGCACGGTATAAGCAGAAGCAGATACGAAAGATCAGAAGAAAACAGTTCCCTAATTAATCACGGAGAAAGTTGGAAAGGATACGATGCGCTCCGGCAGAACAACTCCTTAAGTTTCCCCTCGCATAAATCACTCGGAAAAGCTTTCGGAAAAATAGTCCCGGTGCTCGGGAGCTCGGGACAAGTTCCGGAATCTATGAAGTTGCTCCTCAACTTCTGATACGGCGGGTGGATAAGAACACGCGTGGGACGTCATCGGAATTATGCAACAGCCTCGCGAGCGCGATGACGCAACGGACGGCCGAAGAAAATGCGCGATAAATAATTGTCGTTGTTTAATATTGGCACCGGTAACGGCAATGAATCCCTTGGAAGGCCAGGAATGCGCGACTCGCCTTTTATCATATTCCGAACAGCGATTCAGTTTCGTCTCGATCAGAACGCGCTTGCTCCGTCGTCATTAATAATACATTTTTAATTAACACGTTCGCGTGCAATTTTCTACAGCCGAGTACCCGTGTACACAAGAAACATGCGATAGAACTGTGTCGATGCTTGGCTATAGATTTTTAAGTGGCAATTACGTTTACACTTTGGGAAATGTTAAATGTATTCGGTTACTAGGAGTTTCTTCGAAAAGTCTAGTACACGACGTTCAAAATATAGTATTAATAGTTCGAATTCGAGCGTTCTCGCGATTAGTTGTACACGGTGCATCGACTGACGCGAGAATTAGGGCGCGGCCAAGTTTTTTTTTTTATCGTCGGTGATCTTAGATCGTTTTCCGATGAACAACATCTTGACTCATTGTTTCCAAGAAAAGTTGTCGGCGCGCGGTGATCGCCGCGTTGAAATTAGCGGCACGGGCTCCGGCGACGGGAATTCACCGAAACCAGGCTTCACCCACGCCAGTGTCAATCGACAACAATATTGATCGGCAGCCCAACTTTCAAAGACGCGCACACGGTACGTGCATACATATTCGCCGAGTCGTGTGCATCGCTGGCGATGTGTAACGATGAGATGTATATAAATACTCCGACCTTTCGACGACGAAAGTACAACCACCGGGCTGAGCATTGTTGTCGGTTAATGCCGTTGTCAATTAATAATACTCTTCTCTTGGAAATCCTGCTATAGAGTGGAACCGATGAATGGTTCGTTCGGTTGTTTAATAGCTTAGTTGTCGAGACTCGGGAAGATAGTATTTTGGTGCTGTGTACATTGTCATCGTAGTATCACGTACAATAATGCAATGCAATATGTCTAATATATTGTATATAATACTGCAACACTATTATCAACACGTTACCATAGTATCATACATAAAAAACCGATGTAATATTAAATGGCAGCGACCGATTCGCCAGTAACTTACGACAGACTTTAGGCTCCTTCGATCGAATTATCTTTCGAATTATGCAATTATCTCTCGAGAATAGTATTGTTAATGGAAGTTGCTAAATTCCTTTGGAGCAAGAAACTTATCAAAAGCAAATGCAGGCAAGAAGCGAGGAATGAACTTGAAAACTAATGAATAACGAGTAAAAGGCATAAGAAAGAATTTGAATAACAAACGATCGAACAGCGATCAACTATTTGTTCGTTGTTACTCGACGAACGTTCCATTCGAATAGCGGGCAACATTATGGTCCCGCGTTCTCTCCGTTCCTCTTCCGTCGATCTCGCCCCGTGTCGTACAATGAACCAGGTGCGCGCACAATCGGCCCGTTCTTTTCTCTTTTTCGTTGGCCACGGTGAGGAGCTGCACGAGGACCTTGACATATTCACTGGCATATTGCTCGGTGTTACACGCGCGAACACTTAAATAGTGCAAACGACGAATTATCGACCACATCGCGACTCTTTCAGCGCGAACGGAACGTTACGGGCCTGCCGCGATGAAAAATGGCCGGGGGAAAGAAGGAAAACGTCGTTTTCCGATCGAGCTTCGCGGACATTGATCGTCGAATCGACGAATTCTTAGATACACTGCCATCGTTAACTCACAGTCCCAGCTAATCTCCGTACTGCAGATTTTTATGCAGCTGACCGAAGATGCGCGAAGATACAGAAGACATTTGAAGTATTCTGTTTAAACTCTTGAAGTTCATTTGAACTCTAGAACTACTAGACGAGTAGAAATACGCATTCTCTCGGCAAGCGTTGAATCGTCTCATTCGATAATAACGTCGTTACTTTATTTTAACGCTGCGAAGCAGCTGTGTTCGATCGGTGGTACACGTCGGCGTGATCGCGTTAATCGGATTCTTAAAAATTCGAATCGACACGAAGATCCGCAGTCTAGTTATCACGCTGGCAGCGAAGATTAACGGCGCGCGCGTTGTCGCGTGGAAACGGGACGCGAAGGATTCGACGGTGCACGATTGAATCGGAAAATTCAATTAGAGAGCGAATTCGTTATCGTAGCGAGAATGAACAGAGAGATTCGTATAATCGGGCGTATATTCATGGTAAACGATGTCAGGGATCCAGTTAGCGATCGCAGCCGTATTAAAAATGCAGATTTCGAGCGTGTTTGTTCAAGGATCGCGCGCTGCTCGTTCGGAAAATTGGACGAACGTGTTCGGTCTTCGTCGCTCGTAGCTCGTAAATCATTTTAATCATTCATTTTTCAATCTGCCCTGTGGAAACGGTAACACTGGAACTACCAGACCGGTCGGAATGATAACAGATTTCTTATTAGACGATTAGAGGAGAAGTAACGTAGTTCGTTGAAATGAAATTTGTAACTGAAACTACTTCGAACCTTTGCGTATGCTGTAAGTAAACTGTTAGAGTTATTTGCGACAAAAGGTGAACACGAATAATCATATTTACTTGCATTTCAAAATTAAAGGTAACCGGTTTTAGTAGAAGCGTATGACTTCAACACTAGAACTCCCGAGCAGTTCAACTGACTGTTGCAAAGTCTCTATAGAAACTTCGAGAGTGCATTCATCGAGTTCAGTCGATTTACAACTCAGTTTGCGTATTGGTAAATCGATTTCTTGAATAATTCCTCGGAGAAACATCTGTCACCTTTCCAATAATTGCAAAAAGGCATCAGGAATGGTCATTTTGACTTGCCTGGTAGTTTTAGCGTTAGCAGATGCAACTAAGAACACCGTTAATTACTAGATGCCTTCGTTACAATATAGAAATTCACGGACTTTCCTTTTTCTCTACCGAAATCGTGAAGTCGCTTTCGCAGAAACCACCGAACCGGCTTTATTTCTATGGCACTTTCGTGGTTCGCGTAAGAAGCTGTGAATTAGTCGCATCGACTGTTCGGTGGTTCCATCGTTAAAGGGAAAAGATGGCCGCACATTTTCAGATGTTCCCAGAAACGTGCCAACCACCGGGTCGCCCTCTCCAACTCCGAAGTTAGATAAGACGACTCGGCCCCGTTCCGCTAGCGCGCAGCAATCGGGTCCTCGCGATAATAGTTATAATAAAGCGGATTTAAGAATGGCACGGAAGCGTTTGTCCAGGCGCCCGGCGCAAAATCAGAAATTCCGACGATTTGGCTCGAGGCGGCGAAGTTAGAGGGTGCACGTCGAACTTGGCACCCTCGACCGCGCCAGCTCGTTTCTTACGAAACGACGCGCGCGGTCTCGAACCTGCACGTCGCTCGCGCTGATTACACACAAAGAAACCCAAAAAAATACAGCGGACGAAAGTACTCGACTCGTTGAAACGTTATCGGCTCTTCGGATCGTCGCAACTTCGCGAAGAAAAATCGTTGGAAAACTTCAAATTACGAAACTATGTCGGACACGATGGAGAAAAAAATGTATCGAAGTTTCTGCCGGCGTTTAAACGACGGACGAATGTTCTGGTAGAAAGTGCCTTTATAATTATTCTTCGCGAAGTCGAGACACTTTGAAGAATCAACCGATTTTTACCGATTTCGACGAGTTCATCATTGACCGTTCCTTTGTCTGTTACAGAAATCGAGAGGACGAGTGCATCTCGCAGAATGGATTCGTGCGGGGTCTACTTGTCTCAGCTGCGAGCGATGCTCGTGAGAAATCTGTTGCTGAAGAAGCGAGAGAAACGGAAGACCACGGCGGTACGTGAGATCGATATCGAACTTCCCTAACTGACCATCCCCTCCGACCACGCCGCAATTTTCTAACCGTCACTTTTCATTTACTCTCTCGCGAGGAATCCGCTACTCCCCTCGGCTCGCGCCGTAATTGAAGATTGGATGCGAAACAGGCAGGCTACTGGAAACAGAGGAGAATCGGGACGACGATTTCGCGGTCGCCGGCGGAACGCCGCGAAATTCGTTCCTTTTCCTGTGTACCCGAACATTCTTTGCTCGTCTCTTCCACGCTAGGTTCGCGGGCACTTACTTCACAGTTTATTCTATTGCGCTTAGGGAAAATCGATGTTTGTTCATTTAGATCTTGGGAATTCCATCGTATCGTTTCCCTAGAACCAACCGTTCAAACTTAAATGAGTCTCAAAAGGCCACCGGAACAAGGCATCTCGGTCCAAGTATATCGAACAGCGAAAATTAGAAGTAAACACCTTTATCATTCGTCCACTCTCTGCATTCCATATCTAACTTTAACCCTTTCGGCCATGGCGTCCTCATATAAGGACACACAAAATAAATGCTCGGTATGTCTAAATTCAGTAAATTTTATCGTTCGTAAACGTCCTCGTATCGCAAGCGTACATTCTATTCGACAATGGCGTCGACCTCTCTCAGAGTGTGTTATCACGAAATAAAACTAAAGACGCGCATCGGAGCGAACTCAGGAAAACATAATTCACGAGCGAAAGGGTGAAACTATTTCGAGGGGTAAGTCCGGAACGTTATCACTCGTGGTCAAGTGTCCCGGCGTCGTCCTTTGTGTCCCGCGGCGCGATCGAAACGTGTCGGGCCAGCAGTGGACGGGGGAAAGTTTGGAGAAAACAGAAAAGTTCTCCACCGGGGCGACCCTTGGCCTAGTTGGCAGCGGGCGCACGCAAAAACACCCGTCGAAAACGAATTGGCAGCACGCCCTCCCTTCGTTGCCAGAGCGTGTGCGTTGGGGCGAGCGCCGTCGCTCCGTCGCTCCGTCGCCGTGCCCGACCGGGCCGAGCGTGTCCGAGACCGTCCTCCGTTCCCCCCGCTTTCTCTCTTTCTCTCTTTCTTCCTGTTCACCTCGCCGCGACGATCGTGAATTCAAATTCCGGCTGTCTGGCGTCGGCTGTCCGTATTTCTCTCCCCAACTCTTTTTTCTCTCCCCCGGATTCCTCCTAATACATATTCGATCGATCCTGATGGCACTTCGAATTCGGCGGCCGGTTCTTTCGCTTCGGAGGTGGCCAATCGGATGCCCGGCGATGCGATAACGATGGAGAACGCTGGGGCCGTTTAAACGGATGGACCATACGAGGCGCTAGAACCTAATGCGGTTAGATCGATTTTGTCACGCTTCCCGATGTTCCTCAATTTTCATGGAATAATATTCTTTTTAGTTGTTAGGGGAGTCACTCGTTTCTTCGCGCTTTCTAGGCCAGAAGGCCCTTGTTTTTATAGCTTCCGAATACGTTGCGTAATCATTTATGAAGCCGGAATATTGATGTTCTCAATTTTTGGTTTATGGACTTAACCGCATTGGCTTCTGAGCGAGTGCGAGCTTGATGACGGATCGATGAGCTTTTCGCATACTTGCCGGTGTAAAGAATACGGTGTACTTCTTTTAGGTGGTAAGTTAGTATGAATAGTAAACGCATGGAAACAGTGTAAATTGAGTGAAAAATTCTTTTGAGTAGCTGTTCAGTGAAACGGGACGATTTTTTTAAGGGACATTTTGGAACTGAATTTTACCGCAGTGTCTTTTTATCCTTTGAAGTTACAAAATGATAAAATGGCAACGTTACGCAATATTGTCCATCACTTCTTCGTAGCTGGCACCGAAAGTTACCAGACATAGGAGGCAAAGAGATTTGGAACTTGATTATTCCTAAAACGATTAAACGAATATGAACAGGCAGACGTTTCAGCGATGATTTCGTCGGACCCGCCCGTCATCTTGCCAGGACACAAAGGGTAGCCCGAAGGGGGCGGCGAGGGTGAGGCGCGAGCCTAAATATAGCTCGTTAGAGGCAGAGAAAATCGATTTATACATAAAATAAGTATTCGCGTCTATACTTAGTCCCGCCCTCCTAACGCGAGCCACTCGATTAAGATGCCTTCTACCATAAAATTGCTCGACCTCGGTCGCGGCGTCGAGCGGAAAAAAGAAGCGCGAGCGCGCCAGCACGCCCCGGCGTCGCCGGTGAAAACCTTTTGTTACGCGCTCGCGAAAACTGATTCGATATTCGACGGCCGCTCGTCCCAGCCTCGCCGCGAACCGCGTTCAACCGAATCCGAATGTATTTACACGCATTGACAAATCGTTCTCTCAACGTTACAAATACCAGAGAGCATTTGATTTCGTGAATTACGGAAACTTCGCGGAAAAAAAAACTTTAACGAAGCGTGGCGCGACATTAACCTTTCAGGTACTGTACGTCATAGTGGCTTTCGCGTATATCTCTTCCAACCGTGCGTCACTATAATGGCACGATTCTTTCTCTGTCTACGTTAGATGTAATCTAGTTGCACGGTGAACAATTGTATCAGTCTGAAATCGCAGTGACATTACATTTATGATATGCGGACCGAGTCGAACCTTGCCCTACAGAGGTAGCTTCCCAGGTAGTCTGTAGCTAAATGGTTAAAGCGTTGACACCCGGAAGGAGGCTTCAAAAAATCATTCTAGATCGAATAATTCGAACTCTCGGGATGAAAGGGGGACAAACAACGAACGTCGATTCACTCGGAACTGCGTTTACTCGTCTACAGAAAGACAGTCTACAGAAAGGTCGAGAAAGTGGATCACTTCTTCCTAGGCGGCTTCTGCTTGCCCTCTTTGCCTTTGAAGATCGCCGGGTCGATCACGTTGGTGGGCCCGTTGTTCCACATGGAAATGGATATGGTTTCGATGGGGTCAACGGTGGACGGTAGCAGGTGGGGTCCAACCAAGAAGTACACCTGCTCGACCCAGGTGGGCAGGGCGAGGCCGGTGACGCAGTACTGCCACAACGGCAGCCCAAGATGGACCAGCATCATCCGGAAATAAACGGTGAAGGTGTCGGCCAGGTGGTGCCATCGATCCGTTTCCACCCGGTGCAGCCAGATGCTCGGGGCCTCCTGGTCCGGTTTCATTCGGTACACCAGGTAAACTCCGGCCTTCCCGCTGTCCGGGTGACACTGGCCGATCTCGAACATCTTGCAACCTCGCGGATTCCCGGCCGCAAGGGAGATCGCGCCCTCGCGATCCGTGCCGCCTTCTGACCCTTGATCGGAGGACTCTTGCTTGGCACAGTTCGCTTGCTGCGACTCTTTGGCTACCGAGTAACGCTTCAGGGAAGAGAAACCGCCGATTTCCATGCGACCCACCGAGAATTCCTCGCCTGCCGGCAAACGAACGGATGAGACGATGGAGCAGAGGTCTTTGAAATTTCGTTTTTCTACAATTTGGAAGACTAAAAAGCTGCGAGAGTCGGAATTCCATCGTCCGAAATTGATTGCGACCCTCATAAAGGCTATTCCATTTCGAATACAATTTGGTCGGAAAATTTGGAATTTCAGGTGAAATTAGAGTGATGATACCTGCTATCTCTAGGTTCCAGACAAGCTGAAAACCGTCGGTCGACAGATAGAAGTTCCTCAGATCTTCCGGGAGCGCGCAACAATGCCTTTGCTCCCAGTTGGCGATGGCGGTCTCCTCGCACCCGTTCCTCCTATCGACTCGCACGTTCTTCACGTACGGCACGTTCTCGAGGAGCTTCACCACGCCCAGCGTGAGGTTCTCGTAGAACGAGTCCTCGGTAACGACGTCCACGAAGAAAGACATCCCTCGCGCACCACCCTTAACTCGGCCTCTTCATTTGCATCCTGCGGACACCCTACCGCGTCACTTCCTCGTTTCGCTCGTCACGATTTTCGGGATTAAAACCGACGAGGGCCGTCTCGCCGGAAACCTCATGAAACTTAAAGAGACACTCGATATTCAGCCGCCTCTCGACGTTTCCCTTTCGCTGGAGGACACGCGGCGTAGGCTAACGACTGCGGATCTTTAGGGAAACTCAAATGTTCAACCCCTTAAGCTCGATAACTTGGCGCAACTTTAATTTGTTGAAGGGAAGAGAAATATCACAGACATATTCTGTATCTGTGTTTGCTTTAAAGTATGATTAACGAGAAAATTAATGTTTTGGCTTCTGAAATAATCGTACATATTCAGAAGGTATAAGAGGAGCTTTCTAGAGCACGAAGAATCGAGTAAATCCTTGAATAACTAAAGAGAATATTTACTTACTACGAGGTATCTACCGATACCACTCGATCGTTTCTCCGATCGACTTCTGTCGTTGAAAACGTACCCTTCGCGTCGTTCCCGAATTTCTGTCGGAAAACCGCGGTTGCAGCCACGAAATCTGTTAGTTTCGTTGAATCGGGGGCAGTCGGGTCAGGCGTGTGACTGGTTCAGCCTGTTGTTGATCGCCATGGTGACCGAATATCAAATTGAACCGGCTCGGCCCGGCCCGGCCCGGCGCGTGCATCCCTCGTCTCCCTCTTCCGCCGGCCGAGGGGGTGGTAACGAACGTTTGCGCAGGTTCGGCCGCACGACAGGTGTGGGAGAGGGTGCAGGTGGACTGATTGACGGTGCACGCACAGGGGGTTGTTGTTCATGCGAGCCCCCTGCAATTTCGAGTCCCCGTAATCCCATAGAATTTACCGTACACCGGGGAACCCTTCGTCCGCGACTTCGTTCCCCTCTTTTTTTGCTCGACACGCTCAACCCTTGATGTAATGATTCTTTTATTACGCCCACGAAAACTCCCGGCGACGTATTATTTGCCATATGTTGCAGGAAGTCTTCTTGCCCCTGTACACCCTGGGCATCTTAATCGTGGTGAAGGTGTTGCCACCGAACCCGAATTACCCCGCGATGATGACGCAGAGGCAGGAGGGCGGCATATTCGACACGTTCAACGGCTACAAAAACAACACGCTCGCCGTTGTTCCGAACTCGACGGAAACTTTGGTACGCGCTCAACTGGATTCCAGTCCCACGGTTCGTTTCGTTCGCGAACAGAGATCCTCTAATCGTCCCTTCTGTTTCAGAACTTCTTGAACTCGATGAATACCCTGTGGTTGTCGATGTGGGACTCCCCTGGCAAGCTACCCTTGAATTTCATGGTGTTCGACACAAAGGACGACCTGCAAGCTGCGTATTGGAGAGATCCTTACAGTGTACCCCTAGCAGTAATCTTCGAGGATTCCCAGCCTATATCTCAGCGCCTTCTGTAAGATGATAGGGACGTAATGCGTCGTTTAGTCTAAACAAAAGTGGAGGACGTTGATTTAAGGAGAACGATGATCGAATTGTATATACGATCTACTTCGAGGCTTTCCACCGCGTTTCATTAAACTGTTTTAGAATTTCCATCGAGAATGTTACACTTGGAAGTTTCGTGTACCGTGTAGAAAGGTCGAGTGTAGAGCTAGAGTAATGAATATTGTGGAGACAGGCTTGACCTCTTCCAGACTAAATGCTGATTGCCATTTACGTTACGTTCCAGGTATGAGATAAGAACTAATCCTTTGTACTCGAGTCTACCTTCGCCGACCGAATTGTATTCCGCCCCAGTTACTTGTCGAAAGGACAACACTAGCCACTGGATGGGCGGTGTATTGTCGATAGAAACTGGTGGATCATGCCCGGTCAACAATTACCTGCATTCTGGATTCTTGGCGTTGCAGTTGATATTGGACATTACGAAGATAAGAGTACGCATCGGATTGTTTAGACTGTGTTGCGTTATTATAGTTTATGCCACGGGAGATTGTACTTTTTTAATCTTAAAGTGGCCTCCATAAAAGATCTCGTAGTTTGATCGGATCAGGCGAATTTATTTGTGTTATAATGTAACGTCGATGAATCTCTACATTATTAATGCAATCGCATGTGTTAATGATTTACAGTTGGACACGGGGAACACGAATGTGACCGTACCGAATGTTAGACTGGAAATGTTCCCGAAGGAAGCTTTTACTGCAGGTAATTGTATAAAATGTTCTATGGACGTTGGTTTCTGTCTCCGCATGTTGAGTAACGACGAAGACTGTCTAATTAATATTAGGAGCATAGTAGGTTGATTGTGGTAGAAAAAAGGTGATAGATTTGGGAATAAAATATATATTTGAAGCGTATATCTTTCTTTCTCTCTGTCGTGGATGTACTTCTAAGCATACCTTTTATTTAGACTGGATGCTGGCCTTCAGAGTTGTTATACCACTCTTTATGGTATTGGCTATTTCGCAATTCGTCACATACCTCCTGATCCTGATAGTCGGTGAAAAGGAAAAAAAGATCAAGGAAGGGATGAAGATAATGGGCCTAAGAGATTCCGTCTTCTGGTAGGTTTATAGTAGATTGTGTTCGAACATATGCATGTCAGACGAATATTATTTTGCATGAATTACTAGAGTAATTTACAAAATAGATTGGCAAATCTATTGCGCACATTAAAGATCATTCTCCTTATCGTTACAGGTTGTCATGGTTCATTATCTACGGTGTCTTTGTCTTGCTACTCTCTGCTGTTGGGGTCGTACTACTATTTACTCTTCAGATGTTTCAACACACACACTTTCTACCGATATTCCTTTTAGTAGTGCTCTACAGTTTTTCCATAATCATGTTCGCTTTCATGATAACCCCTTTCTTTGATAAGTCACGGGTGAGCATCAGTTACGAACTCATTGTTGTTCTGTTTGGCCGACGATTAATGAAATATTCTTTATAATTTGAATTTCCAGACCGCCGGCGTGTTAGGTAATTTCGCTGTAACGATATTAAGCTTGATGTACTTTATCCAAGTTTTCGTGAAGGACTCTAGTTCCATTTCCTTTTGGGTGGTATCCCTCCTCAGTCCAACGGGCGTTGCTTTGGCAATGGACAAAGTTCGTATTCAAGAAGAAACTGTTTCAATATTGTTCATTCTATATAAAGTAAATACGCGCGAATAGAATGTGATTGTCTTTCCAGGCACTTGTGCTAGATTTACAAGGAGAAGGAGTTAATTTCGATAATTTATGGTCTGGTCCCGGCATACCTTTTGGAGGAAGTCTCATTATGATGACTTTGGATATCTTTTTATATGCCTGCTTAGCCTATTACTTTGACTCCGTGGTACCTAGTAAGTTCTTCAGTTTATTCATCGTTCGACCATTATTTTATTTGTACCTTGAACCTTAATTCTAGGCGAGTACGGGACAAAAAGAACTCCTTGGTTCTGTTTCACGCCGAACTTCTGGTGTCAGAGAAAGACTCCACGGGTGGGTTTAATGCATAATAGCAAAACTGTTATGCGCAGGAGGAGTGGAGGAAAAATTGGTTTACAGTCGTATTTACAGGTACCATCGTCAAACGGTGAGTCAAATTCCTTCATACCGGGTGAGGAAACCAACCGTGACATCGAGCCAGTGGTAAGGGAGATGAAAGGTCGCGAAGCTATTAGGATAGTCGACCTTTACAAGTCCTATCAGAAATGTCGCAAGCCAGAGATTAAAGCTGTGAATGGCATTAACCTGACGATTTACGAGGGACAAATTACCGCGATACTCGGCCACAATGGAGCTGGGAAAACCAGTCTTTTCAACATACTGACTGGCCTGACTGCACCGACTGCCGGCACTGCTTTGATCTTCGGCTACGATGTCAGAGATTTCAATGATATGCAAATGATTAGGAGCATGACTGGTGTTTGTCCGCAACATGATATTCTTTTCGACCTTCTGACACCTCGAGAACATCTCGAGTTCTTCGCCGCTGTACGGGGAATTCCTAGATCGATGATAGAACACGAGGTACGATCGGTGGATTTTCGATGATCGGTCGGTCAACGATTAAGATCAATTTGTAATATCTTCTCTAATCATTCCTAGGTGAAGAAAACTTTGAAAGACATTGATTTATCCGAGAAGGCGGATACTTTCGCCAAGTATCTAAGCGGTGGCCAGAAGAGGAAATTGTCCGTAGGTATCGCTATTATCGGTGATCCAAAAATTATCATCCTCGACGAACCCACCGCTGGAGTGGACCCTTACTCTAGAAGGCAGATGTGGTCTTTTCTACAATCGAGACGTCACGGGAAAGTAATACTATTGACCACGCATTTCATGGACGAAGCTGACATACTGGCGGACAGGAAAGCAGTTATCAGCAAAGGGAAATTACGGTGCTGCGGTAGTTCTTTGTTCTTGAAGAATAAATTCGGCATTGGATATCATTTAACGTAAGTCAGGAACGTAATGATTAACAAGAGAAATGTATGTTTCCTTCAATACGTTGAAACGAATGGTGAAAATACAGGATGGTACTCGAGGGGAACGCAAGGGAGCACGCTATCAACAGATTGGTAACTTCTCACGTATCGAAGGCTGAGAAAGCTAGACGTCACGGTCGGGAATTGAGCTTTATTCTGCCTCACAACTCTGTGGAAAATTTTGCGCCACTTTTCTCGGCCATAGAACACGAAATCAAGACCAGGGCGAGTAGATTGGGTATCAGTAGTTACGGAGTGTCGATGACCACTCTGGAGGAAGTGTTTCTGCATCTAGAGAAAGACGAGGGTACAGAGTGCACCATGGATAATTTATCCAAGAAAATGGTACGCAATCGTGCATTGAGCAGATCGCTGTCACTGCAGTCTAAAAGTACATCTTATCAGAGCTTGCAGAATGAAGGTGTTACTGTTCAGAATGATGGTCAAGCGAAGGGTAAGGTCATTCCAATGTGTACATAATACTATTACATTATTAGATGTAAATTTTATTCCGTCATGCACAGGGGAATTACCGGATGGCGTCCATAATGATAGGAATCCTGTTCTCGGCCTCGGACTAGACCCCATAAAGATCCGGCCTAACTTCATACAAATCCTATACGCTATGCTTCGCCTAAGAATACTCAGGCTCTTCAGGAACATCCAGTTATTGTACTTCACTATCGTCGCGCCTCTTTTCCTGATTGCTGTTGGTCTTCATTTGTACAGTATTCAAACTGTCGAGATCAAGATGCAATCTCTCAAGTTGAACACTGGTACAGTAGATTTTTTTATGATTTATAAGTACATCAGAATGTTCTTTAAAACACAAAGGTACGAATATTTGCTTATCTCGATAGATACCTACGGCAACGAGACCAAAATTTTGTACGCCAACCATACCGATCACGATATCACGAATTTGACCGATGGGATTAGTCAAGATGTCAAATACATTGAAGAATATACAGGAAATTTCGCTAATCTGTTGAAAATCGCATCCCACATAGCTGTCTTCACCGTCAACGAGTACAGCCAACCCAAGATTGACTTGACCGTCGCTTACAATGACACTATGCAACATTCCTTACCAATTTTGATAAATTTGTTGTCCAACACCTATTATAGGTATGACCGTACATTTTCAGAAACGTTAAACGTTACATTTGAATATTTATACTCAACAGTGCATTGTTTATGATTAGGTTGGTCTCAGGTAACGACAATGTCGAACCAATAGGGGTTAAAACTCATCCTTTTCAACAAACGTCTCAACCGCAGGAGTTCAATATCGGCACAGCCAGTTCCGCTGTGTTCATTGGGATGAATTTTGTCTTATTGCCAATAATTTTAGTCGTAGACATGGTCTACGATCGTGAAGTAAGATTAATTTATGCTAAATGTGTCACGTGTCTGATGTACTGTTTCATCTATTTTTTACCTGTAACTTTACATATTCATAGATAAAAGCGAAGAACCAACTGCGCGTGAATGGTCTGTCGTTCTCAATGTACTTTCTGACTTATTTCATCGTACTCGACGGCCTGATAACGTTCATCTGTCTTTGTATACTTGGCATCATATTCCTCTTCGATGTGCCTTCGCTTCAAGAGATTCCAGCACTCATCACCCTCGGAAGTCTTCTAATGCTTTATTGCCCGGCGTCCATGCTCTTCTCCGCGTGTCTGAGTTACGTTTTCGATAAGATGGATTCTGCACAGAGCATTCTCCCCAATATCGCCACCTTCATCGGGCTCATACCCTTCATACTAGTCATGAGTCTTGATATGTTGGGTCTCAGTAAGTAATAGTTGTGTACTCTTAATATATTTTTCAAAGGACAATTATTACTGCATTACTGCAATCGTCGGTAACTGTTGAGCATTCACCAAATACTTTTATGTTAATTATTTCCTCAGGTGGGACAGCAGCATTCGTTCTACACGTGATCTTCTCTTTATTAAATACATTGTACGTGCCATATGCTGCAGTGTATTATGTAGGACGAGTCCACCTCATGTGCTCCATCAACGCCGCTTGCCACCACCTAACCATGTCCGATTACCTGACCACAGAAATAATTATAATGGCCTTTGGAGTGCTTCTTCATTGCCCGGTGTGGTTCTTTATACTTTTGTTATTGGATACCAAAAAGAGCGGTGGCAACATCAGCGACATTTTCAAGCATTTTCTGGTTAGAATATTTTTCTTCGTGTTCTGTACAGTACATTAATAACACAGACAGCGTAAATTTATATTTCATCATCGAATATATTCCAACATCCATAGCGTAACGGTGGCAGCGTCGGCGAGGAGATAATGGAAAATGCAGATATTGGAGAACACGAGGATGCAGACGTTAAAGCCGAGAGACAGAAAGTTTTTAATCTTATTACTTCGTCATCCGTTCAAGAACCACCCGTAGTTCTAGTACAGGTACAGATTCCACAGAAAACAATGTGAACTTTAAATCTTAGATTTTTCGCATCGAGTGAACAATCGTTGATTAATTTGGAATCGTTCGTTGGTTAGAATCTCAGAAAAGAGTACAGGCAGAGGGAGTCAGGTTCCTGCAGTTGCTGCTCGAAACAGGATGAAGAGGCCAGTCAAATACAACGAAAAGTTGCTGTAAGAAATCTTTCATTGGCGGTCGAGCCGGGAGAGGTGTTCGGTTTGTTAGGTCACAACGGCGCTGGGAAAACCACAACAATGAAGATTATCATAGCGGAGGAAGCGGCCTCTCGAGGTAGGGTGCATATCGGTGGTCACAACATTTATTCCAATATGTCAGAGGCATTCAGACAAATGGGATATTGCCCGCAACACGATGCTCAGTGGAAAAATATCACTGTCAGGGAACATTTAGAATGTTACGCTGCCATACGCGGTGTGCCATGGGGAGATATCGGCAGGTGATGTATTTAAACTGCAGACACTCCGGGAATCCAATAAAGAAACCATAAACACGAGCTCCGATTTCCTTACAGAATTGTAGATCTGTACCTGTCCGGTCTTCAAATTCACGAGCACGCCGACAAGCAAACGCAGGAATGCTCTGGTGGAACCAGAAGAAAATTGAGTTTCGCTATGGCAATGATCGGAGGTCCAAAAGTCGTTTTAATGGATGAACCTAGTACAGGGATGGATCCTAGGTCGAAAAGGTTTTTATGGGATACAATTCTAGCCAGCTTTCAGGTGTTTATCTGGATATGATATACTTCACTATCGTTTCAAAGATTTAGGTCACCCGCGACAATAAAAATGTTTGTTGCAGGGTGGCAGAGGAGCAATTTTAACGACTCATTCTATGGAGGAAGCTGACGCTTTGTGTTCGAGAGTAGGTATAATGGTGAAAGGAGAGCTGAGGTGTATAGGTTCTACCCAACATTTGAAAAATCTCTATGGTGCTGGATACACCCTTGAGATGAAGCTCCTGGGCGGCGATTGTACACCCACGACACCTTCTGGCGACAGGATTACTAGTCTGAAAGAATTCGTTTCCAGCCTGTTCCCAGACGCTAGCCTCGAGGAGAGTTTCGCGGATAGATTAGTTTTCGGTGTTCCCCAACACGCAGTTAACTCGCTGGCCGAGTGTTTCATGCAGTTGGAGAAAGGTAAGTCGAATCTTTTATAACTGTGTCGACTAAAGTTCTATTACCATTAGAAGATTAAATGGTCGAATAACTATGTTGAATCGTTTAGCTAAGCTCGAGCTGGACATCGAAGAGTACAGCTTCAGCCAGACTACTCTCGAACAAGTTTTTCTGAAATTTTCCCATTATCAGTCAAACGAGGGGGAATGATGACTCACGAGAAGTGTGTTTATTCTGATGTGTTGTATAGTGAAATATGCGCGAGACCCTTCAAGTGTGAACAAGTTGAAAATAGTGATCTATCCGTTAATATTCCATTGTGAATGCTATCGAGAACCGATGAAAACGACATTCTTAAGTATCAAGAACGCTCTATAGTAACAAGGAAATTACACATAACAGATCAGTGCAATTTGTGAAGTTACATTATTCCTGTTTTAAGCTTGACGAAACTGTAAGTGAAAAAATGATGGTACTATTTTTATGGTACACCTCGCTCGACCTAATACAGAGAAACAGACAGAGATAAAGGGTAAACAGAGGGGGAGAAGAAATGAATAGAACGGTATATAATTTCTTTTTCGTACCGGTGTTCCGCACTATTATGTTCGTCAGAATTTCAGCAGTGACTTCCTGAACTGGGTATATCGTGAGGATATGTAATAAACGTACGAATAAAATGAACAACCTGTAAATAGCGAAGACTGCAAACAATTTATCCTATTGTCGGCAGAGGCGGTAATAATACTACTCAACACTAATGATTTTCAAATGATATTGTAATCTAGTGTATTTTTTCGATTCCTACGAATAGGTCACGCGATTAATATTGCTGTGGAATTGGTACGTTTATTATCATCGATTATAAGTATGGGAACCTGCGTTATCAGAGAAGGCGAACCGTGAAAGATCTCTACGGATCGATATTAAATTCTTTTTAAAACTCAAGGAATTCCTAATGAATTACCTGTCTACATCGGTAAATGTGTAAACTGTACAGGACTATTCGTTTAGCGACATTTATAATTGTTCAAGTTAACAACGAGCGCTGTTAACGCGGCAACGGAACACGTTGCCTAAAATCGGAGTGCCGACTGTATTTAAAAGATCTGAATATGCAATCGGCCGTGACTTAATTTGTGCATATAACATAGCGCTTAGTATGTATGTATAAATATTTCTCCATCTCGCTTGTGGTTTTTACCGAAGCCTTTCGAATAATGTGAGAAACGCAATAGGTTGTTAACCTTGCCTCGATAGCGTGTAAGATCATTATTGTTCGACGCGAGAGTTTTTTCCGTTTGAAGCGACTCGAGCAGGATATGCTGACTAGGATACTCGATAAAACTACGTTGTAAGAGAATTTTAACGATCCACGAAGTAAACTTCATGGTTTTTATCTGACAACCTTGTATTCTGTGTTGTACAAAATTACTTTGAATACGTTTTTAAATATTGATATCCGTATACGGAACTCTTCAGTTGGATAACTTTAAAACGTTACTCGAAGTACTTGGTACGATGTAATTAAGTGGTCTTTCTGGATTAAAAGATTGACAGATTTTAGTTTCTCCCAGTGGGACTCTTACTTTGCGTTGATCGAAGGAAAGGAAAGATGTTTGTTTTTGAAATTATAGAAAGATCTCTTAATGTTATCACTAATGGTGGAATAAACGAAAAATTGATGAAAAGAATGCTTTAGTCCATTTAGGAAAACAATTGTTCTCGACTTTCTACGAACGAAGGTTTCGTTTTTAGACACGAAATGTATACATTCGATCTTCTGTGAGATTAGTCGGAGAAATCGAACAAACGAGACAGTAGGGGTACCGTTTCAAGGACTGAGTGAAATATTTTGTAGATGCTAGTGAATAGTTAGATGAAAAATTGAAGTCACGTCGTATGTGATGTATTGATTTTTGTAAATAAAAAAAGACTCGTTATAAGAATGATTCATATTATAAATATAAATATACATACATGTACTATGTATACGTTATATGTGTATATGTATATATATATATATATATATATATATATATATATATAT